GCAGTGTTCCAAATTCATCTTCCCATCTGCTACCTGCTCTCGAAGATAATGGAATCTCATTTCGATGTGCTTACTTCGACCATGTGCTATTGGGTTCTTTGCCAGATTAATAGCTGACATGCTGTCTATCTTCATGGTAATTGCTCCATGATTTTTCCCTATTATCTCTTCGACCAAGTTCACCATCCAAGTTGCTTGACATGCACAAAGAGAAGCAGCTATGTATTCTGCTTCGCATGATGATAATGCCACTACTGGTTCCTTTCTTGAATTCCAAGCAATTGGTGCACCACCTAGCATAAACACTTATCCTACTGTTGACTTTCGATCTTCAGCATCACTACACCAACTCGAATCAGTGTATCCCACTAACTTGCATTCTTTTCCTTTATCAACTGCAGGAAACAAAATGCCATAATCGAAAGTTCCTTTGAGATACCTTAGTATCATCTTAACTGCTGCTAGATGTGATACCTTTGGCTTCTGCATAAATCTACTTACCATACCTACACTGTATGCTAAGTCAGGCCTTGTATGACAAAGATATCTTAATGATCCAATAAGTCTTCTGTATTGGGTTGGATCAACATCATCTTCATCTGCATCTTTCGACAGTTGCAGTCTTGGTTCTGCAGGTGTCGAAGTTGAGTTGCATTCTTCCATCTCAAACCTCTTGAGAATTTCTTATGCATATCTTCTTTGATGCATCATCAAACCTCTATTGCTCTTGTAGAATTCGATACCAAGGAAATATGAAATCTCACCCAAATCAAACATTTCGAATTCCTTGCTGAGATCACCTTTGAAGTCTTCGATCTCACTTTTACAGCTACCTGTTATCAACCAATCATCTACATAGAGACATAGTATAAGCAATTTACTCTTGCTTCTTCTTACATATACTCCATGTTCAGTTGTGCACTTCACAAATTCCTTCTCCCTTAGAAAACTATCAATTTTCTTATTCCAAGCCCTTGGAGCTTGTTTCAATCCATACAAGGCTTTATGTAGCATGTACACCTTTCCTTCTTCGTCATGTTTCACAAACCCAACTGGTTGTTTAACATAGTCTTCTTCATCTAAGGGTCCATTTAGGAATGCACACTTCACATCCATCTGACATATGTGCCAACTATTTATTTCTGCTAGACCAACAACCAACCTGATTGTTTCGATCCTAGCAACAGGTGCAAAAACTTCGTCGAAGTCTATTCCTTCTTTCTGTAGAAATCCTTTCGCCACAAGTCTTGCTTTGTGTCGAGTTACTTCACCTTTCAAATTTGTTTTCACTTTGTATACCCACTTGACATCAATTGCCTTCTTGCCTTGAGGCAATTCGACAAGTGACCAAGTGTTGTTGTCTTCGATAGACTTTACTTCTTCGTTCATTGCTTTCACCCACTTCGAATCTTTTAATGCTTCAGCTGCATTAACAGGTTCGACATCTGCATAGAAAGCATAATGTACCAGCTCACCTTCATTATCTATTACATCATTTGATGTAATCACACAATCTTGCAATCTTGCAGGCATGCATCTTGTTCTTTGAGGTCTGCTTGTACTTGGTATATCTGCTGGTTCCTCTTGTCGAACTTCTCTTTCGACTTGAGTTTCTGGCTCTTCGAATAGGATTCCAACTGAATCTTTCTTGACATTTGCAGTCCAATCCCATTCTTTAAACTCATCTATGATCACGTCTCTGCTGATCACAATCTTCTTGTTCTCTGGATCGAACAACTTGTAGCCTCCTGTCGAATGATATCCAACTAGGATCATTTGACTTGACTTGTCATCAAGTTTTCTTCTCAACTGATCTGGCACATGTCTATGTGCAATAGATCCAAATACCTTCAGATGACTCAAGCTAGGCTTCACACCAGACCAACATTCTTCTGGAGTAATTCCTTATAGCTTCTTTATAGGACATCTGTTCAAAATGTATGTTGCAGTCGAAACAGCTTCACCCCAAAACTCTTTAGGTAAACTCTTGCCTTTCAACATACTTCTCACCATATTCATGATGGTTCAATTTTTCCTTTATGCAATTCTATTTTGTTGTGGAGTATAAGGTGGCACCACCTCATGCACAATCCCTTCCTTTTCACATAATCTGTCGAAGTCTTTTGACACATATTTTCCACCACCATCAGTTCTCAAAACTTTGAGCTTTCGACCACTTTGTCTTTCGACCATAGACTTAAACCTGGTAAATACTTCGATCACTTCACTTTTCTTCTTGATCAGGTAAGTCCATAGATTTCGACTTAAATCATCTATGAATGTGACAAAGTATTTGTTACCTCTCATCGAATCCACCTGGATTGGTCCACATACATCAGAGTATATGACTTAAAGACTAGCCTTCGATCTGCTTCCTGCATCCTTGCTGAAGCTATTCTTGTGTTGCTTCGCCTGCACACATTCCTCACATACCTCGTTTGGAATGTCAATTTCTGGCAATCCTGAAACCATATTTCTTCTCTTCAAATCTCTGATGTCTCTGAAGTTGAGATGACCTAGTCTATAATGCCATATCCATTCATCTCTGCTAGCTGCAGTCGAAAGGCACTTGTGCTCCATCACATTTAGTTCAATCTTGAAGGTTCGATTCTGAGACATAGGAGCCTTCAAGATTACTCTCCCATTTGCATCAACGACTCTCATCAACTTATCTTCGATTGACACTTTATAATTCTTTTCGACCAACTGCCCTATACTGAGCAAATTGCTCTTCATGCCTGGTATGTACAACACATTGGAGATTACTGACCTTTTGCCATCTTTCCTCATAATCATAACATCACAAATACCTTCATCTGCCAGGGTATTGTCATTTGAAAATTTTACCATATTTTTCTTTGAGGGCTTTATATTGACAAACCAGTCTTTCCTTCCAGACATATGTGATGAACATCCTGAATCCAAGTACCATTGGTCCTTGAATCTATCTTCATCTCTTGTTGTGACCATCAGCATCATCTCTTCTTCTTCTTCTTCTTCATATTTTGCAAGCTTTGCATCACTTTCTTGATTCTTTCGTTTTTCTGGACAATCACTCGAATAATGTCCATGTTTCTGACAATTATAACATTGAATGTGACTCTTATCAGGTTTTCGACCACCACCTCTTCCTTTATTTGCAACACCACCTCTTTGGTTGCCTTGGTATGGTCTTCTTTGATTCGACACGTCTCCTTCGATTTGGTTTCCTCTACCATTCGATTTGTTGTAGCCACCTCTACCTCTGTCGAAACACTTTCCTTTGCCTTTGGTCTCTTTTGCCGAATGTGCCTACAAGGCCACATCACTCTTCGATTTTCCTGCAGCTCTTTCGTTCATTCTTTGTTCATGAGATTCAAGCGTCCCTTGAAGCTCTTCCTTTATCAATTTCGACAAGTCTTTCCCCTCTTCTATCGCCACCACTATATGGTCAAACTTAGGAGCTAAAGATCTCAAGATCTTCTACACAACAGCTCTTGTTGTTAACGCTTCTCCATATATCTTGATTTGATTTACTAGTTTTGTAACTCTAATGAAGAAATCAGATATGTTTTCACTGTCTTCCATCTGAAGCAGTTCATAGGTCCTTTTGTGAGTTTGTAACCTCACTTCTTTCACCTTCTCAGCGCCTCCAAAAGACTTCTCAAGGATCTCCCAAGCTTCTTTTGCAGATTCTGAATCACTAACCTTTTCGAAATTGTCTGGGCTGACACATTGATGAATTATAAATAATGCTTTATAACTCAGCTTCTCAGATTCTGTGTATTTCTTCTTTTCTTCTTCTGAAGCGTTTTCGCCAAGCGCTTCGACTCCATCTTTTACAAGGTTCCAAAGACCTTGACACCTGAATAAGACTTTCATCTGTTTGCACCAATTCACATAGTTGTCAACTTTCAGAATTGGTAGCGTTGCTGGATAGTTTGCATTCCCATAACTTGTCATTGTGAATTCTTCAATCGTTCTTGATTGACACTTCCCTTGAATCGAAACAAAAGCTCTTGATACCAGATGTTGGAAATCCACCAAATTCTATGATGAATTTCTACCACAATGACAATTTAATTATGAGACAAACAAAGAAAAGAAGACAAGACAAATATTTCTACAGAGTTTCTTTCTGCCCACAAACTGTGGAAAACTTTCTTAATCACTTGCAACTGCAAATTCTGTGATTACAATGAATTGACTTACTTGACTTGCTTTGAAAAATATGGGTTACTCCCTCTATTTATAACTGAACTTACACCCTAAGCCCAAAGCCCAAAATATCTTTTTGTTACTAAATTAAATTAAATCAAATCTATTCTGGACTTAAATCAAATATATTTAAATCTAAAATAAATCAAATCTTCTTTGACACTATGAATTACAATTTAATAATTATAATTTTTTTTATATTTAAAAACTTTTGATTTGTCAAATACTAAAATTGAGAGTTTTTTGTTGTTGTTGTGGATTTCAGCATTACATGATAGAATAGGATAGTTATGTGATTTGGTAATTAATAACAAAATATTGGTGGGTGGTTATCAAAATGTGCCATTCAATTACGGTCAATTACAACATGACAACTCACTTTCTTCATTTTCTTGTTATTCATTCTTAGTAAATTTTAACATTTTCCAAATAATAAATATATAAAGACATAAAACACATAGTTTTGGAAGAAATTGGTAAAGATAAAAGAGAAAAATAAGAACTTAGAAGAAATGAGAATTCATATAAATCTCAATGTATGTTGAAAGCTTTGATTGATTCTCAAAATCTCTCGCCCACTCTCAAACCCTAGTCTAAAAGAATGAAATAAAGTGAAATTGAATTAAAAAACCATTCTCTTCACCAAACCGGTCCGAACCCTAACCCGGTCCACGGTTCATCCGCTTCACCCAGACCGGTCCGGATCCAAACCCGGTTCTCGGTTCGGCAGCTTTTGAAGAAAACAACACTATTGTGTTTGAAGTGCAGGAATCAAACACTCACACGCACGCATAAACCTTAGAATGTTTGGTTTCTGTGTTTCCACCGCCGCCACCACCGCCGCCACCATCGCCACCGCCGCTTCCACTCGTCTTCTCTGTGCAACCCCTTACCCTTACTCTCATTCTTCTTCTCTCACTACTGTACATCACTTTTCTTCCCATCTTCACACAACTTCGGTACTTTTCTTCTTCCCTTTTACTACTTTTTACTTTATTCTTACTCAATGGTATTGATTTTCAAATGGGTATGTTCAGGTTTCTTCATCTTCACAGCGATTCAGGTGCATTTCCATCAAAGCCATGGCTGAAACTGGTGCAGTATCTGCTTCAAAAACAGGTGCATAAATGCTTTTAAAGTCATGCTTATTTTAAAATAAAATCAAAATAAAAATCAAATTTTTAATTAAAATGGGCAATTTTTACTAAATTATGTTCATATATTCATAGATGATTTAGCATTTAGTTCATTTATCTGATTATTCTACATAGACGTGGTTTGGATATGTAGAGAGAAGATCTGTGGATTCGGTAGTAAGGATGCTAGACCATACGGAGAGAAAGCAAACAATTAGAGAAATGGGAAGACCTAGAAAGACTATAAGAGAAGTTATTAAGATCTCGAGATTAATGATTTGGATAGAAGCATGAAACATAATGACGAAAGTTGATTCATGTAGCCGACCCCACTTAGTGGGATAAAACTTAGTTGTTGTTGTAGTATCTGATTATTCTAGATGATTTTAGACAATAATGTGTTTATTTAGCCTTTAATGATTTTTTTTCTATTTTATAAATTTAAGGATTTATTGTTGTTCTGTTGCTGTGAAACCTGTGAAACAGGAAGCAAACAAGCTTTGATATCATTGTCAGACAAGAAGGATCTTGCATTGGTTGGAAATGGACTCCAAGAATTAGGGTAGTTATTATAAATATTGAATTTTTTTTGTTTATTTTTTAAGTTTTAGAATATTATTATTTTGACACGTTCGTCTTTTTTTTGTTACAATGATTATCGTGTATTTGAATATTAGGTTCACTATTGTTTCGACTGGAGGAACAGCTTCTGCATTGGAGAGTGCTGGAGTAGCTGTTACTAAAGTCGAGCAACTTACTCATTTCCCTGAGATGGTGAGTGTACTCGTAACATGATTCGGCTTGCATTTTAATGTTGAAATCTTGTTTAAATTTGGCTTGTGTAATTTTTAGCAGAATTACTAACGATGTATGCAATGGCTTTTCTATACAGCTCGATGGCCGTGTCAAAACTCTGCACCCTAACATACATGGAGGCATCCTTGCTCGAAGAGACCAAAAACATCATATTGATGCTCTCACTACACACGGAATCGGTAGGTTATTATGTTATGTTATCAGCTTTGTTTTAACCCGTGTTGTCAAATAGCGGCTGCAGCGTAGCAGAATTTGAACAAATCTTTATTTAGTGCAAAGTGTTGTCAAATGGCATAGCGGTGCTGTAGTATTGCATATTTGAACAAATCGGTATTTTTTCCGATTTCCAATTGATAACACTGATTGTAGGTTATGAATTTGATGTATGGTTCTCTCAGTTTGTGAGATTTAGATGTTCTATTGCTTTGCTAAAAGTTTGCCATTTCAGGCACTTTTGATGTTGTGGTGGTGAACTTGTACCCATTTTACGATAAAGTTACATCAGCTGGAGGCATTGAATTTGAGGATGGAATCGAAAACATTGACATTGGTGGTCCAGCCATGATTCGAGCTGCTGCAAAGGTTGTTTGTTTGACTGAAAATTTCATCTTATAATATGAAATGATTCCGTCATTAAAAAGTTATGTAAAATGGTTCAGAAAATATTTTGTTGGCTTAATACAAAAGGACCCTTGTTCATTGTATACTGTCTTTTGTATTTGTGCAGAATCACAAAGATGTTTTGGTAGTTGTTGATACGGAAGACTACCCCGCCCTTCTGGAATATCTTAAAGGAAACCAAGACGTTCATTTCAGGCTAAAGCTTGCATGGAAAGCGTTTCAGCACGTTGCTTCCTATGATTCTGCTGTATCTGAGTGGCTATGGAAGCAAAGTGTGGGAGGTACTCTACTTTACTAGTTTATTTTGAATTGTGATACACGGCAATCGAGACTCGGTGATATTCAATATTCATGTCTAAAATAGATAAACAATAGGAATGCGTATCAATTTGGTTCAATTTTGTATCGAACCGAGATACGATTCCCATGAATTGCTGTATAACTCGGGAACAATTAATAATAGTAATGTGCAATATAGGTTGACGTCTACTCTCATTTCATTTACAGATAAATTTCCACCTAGTTTGAGCGTGCCACTTTCGCTCAAAAGTTCTCTCCGTTACGGTGAAAATCCTCATCAAAAAGCTGCATTCTATGTTGACAAAAGACTTGCCGAGGTCAACGCTGGTGGAATTGCTACAGCCATCCAACACCATGGAAAGGTGCAAGTCTGCTACTTTTTTTTATTTTAAAAATTCTAAAAGTAAAGTTTTTGGCGAAATTTTGTATATTTTAAAAGCTATTGTATCATGTTTGGAGGTGAGAGCCTCTGACTCGAAATTTGTATAACTTTCTATAAATATTCGTGTTAATGGCATAACATTTAACATTCTTGTGCAGGAGATGTCATATAATAACTACTTGGATGCCGATGCTGCTTGGAACTGTGTGTGTGAGTTTAGAAACCCCACGTGTGTAGTTGTGAAGCACACAAATCCTTGTGGCGTAGCATCACGCGATGATATTTTGGAAGCCTACAGACTTGCTGTTAAAGCTGATCCTGTCAGTGCATTCGGCGGAATTGTAGCTTTCAATGTGGAAGTTGATGAGGTAATTATTCTAAGTCAGCTATAGTCTATTAGGAATCTTGCAAGTGATATATATTTCTTAATACTTGTTTTTATATATTTTAGGTTCTTGCTAAAGAAATAAGAGAATTTAGAAGCCCGACTGACGGGGAGACAAGGATGTTCTACGAAATAGTGGTTGCACCCAGCTATACAGAGAAGGGACTTGAGATTCTTCGTGGAAAGTCGAAGACTCTAAGAATTCTAGAAGCGAAAAAGAACGAAGCAGGAAAGCTTTCACTCAGACAAGTTGGTGGAGGGTGGTTAGCTCAGGATTCAGATGACTTGACTCCACGCGACATCAAATTCAACTCAGTCTCAGAGAAAACTCCTCAGGACGGTGAACTCCGCGATGCAGAATTTGCATGGTTGTGTGTGAAGCATGTCAAAAGCAATGCTATTGTGATAGCTAAGGTACAATCTGCTACATTATGAAACTTTTTTATGATTAAGTGGAGCTGTTTTAAGAATGTAATTTCTCTGTTAATTTTTGCAGGACAATTGTATGCTAGGTATGGGAAGCGGCCAACCGAACCGTGTCGAGAGTTTAAGAATAGCAATGAGGAAAGCTGGAGCTGATGTTAAAGGAGCAGCCTTGGCTAGTGATGCTTTCTTCCCATTTGGTAAGTGTTGACGGCAATACAGCAATTCATTTTTTATTAATAGGGTGGGGCGGGCATACGGGCTTGCACCCCTAAAGGGTAAAAGTTGTTAAAATTCTTGTTAATGCCTGCGCCCGCAAAAAATCGGGGTAGAGCAGGACAAACATATTAGAGGATGTGGGCCTGAAACCTTAGCCCGCCTGCGAAAAAACTTATAGAAAACTAGTTTTTCTTTTGTTTTAGTTGTTAAACAAAATGTGTCTTGATCTATAAACAGCTTGGAAAGATGCTGTGGAAGAAGCATGTGAAAGTGGAATTGGTGTCATCGCAGAACCCGGGGGAAGTATAAGAGATCAGGATGCTATAGACTGCTGTAATAAGTATGGTGTTTCACTACTCTTCACCAATGTGAGGCACTTCAGGCACTGATCAAATAATTAAGGACTGCTTTTGACATCAAGTAGCGTAATTTTATCGGCGTTGCTATTCCGCGTTGTTGTGTAGTAGAGTTTGAATAAGTTGTTATTTTCTGGATCTGTGATTGACAATGTTGCATTTAAATAGCAAAATAATGCTTCTTAATTATGTTTTGATAGCTTTTTGTTCTGAGAATAGCAATTGTGTTATATGGTAGCTTTTTGTTCTGAGATGATCAAAATAGGCATCATTGTTGCAATTATAAACTTGTTATGTTATATTGAGTTATTGAGATTAATCCTCTTTATTAATCAAAGTTAATGATGAAAGTGAAAGTTGAAATCAATACTCCCGATGAATGCATTTGAGCTCAAACCCAATCTCTGAGGCATGCAACCAGATAAGCTATCAAATCCGGATAGATGAGGAATTTGAAGCATAGCATTGAAATGAGAAGATGGTCCTCAAAAGTCAGAATAAACAAACAATATTCCAATATACATCATTAGTCATTACTAGTAAACAACACAATGGAAAGTTATTCATACAAACAACCTATCTTGCCATCAATGTCCATTGTCCAGTTAAAAGCAATCAGATAAAAACTCAGGGTAACTTAATGATGAGAGGATGCAACTTTCCCTCAATTTGTAACCTCTGCCTTCACATCCAAAGAGATATCCATCTAGATTTCCTAAGCCATAATTCATGAGATATATACTTACTTAACAATGAATTTAAATGTAGAAATTTTCAATTTAAATGTAGATTTCCTAAACCTCCGACTCAAATAATTCAATTCAAAAGATTGGCACTCAGAAGAATCCTTATTAATGATAAACTTTACATAACCCTCATTGTAGATCCATGGAAGAGTTTAGATGCCTTTCCCTCAAGATGGTTGCAGAGATTAGATCTTAAGGTGTTTGCTTTGAATGAAAGGGGACATTTTGTTGCTAAACATCGAGTGCATCAGCAAGTCTAACCTCAACCTTTGTGCTCTATAGGATGATGAGCAACATGTGGCCTTCCCCATCTCTGATGTTAACATTGCCTTCGTTTTTTCACTTGCTATATTAAAGGGGGCCCTATGATTCAAGCTTAGCTTATTGAAAAAACACAGATTTTCCATGGTGCTTTTTAGGAGACTAATGTAATTTTCGGTGATAATGAATATAGAGGTAATCATACTCCGACAAACTTGCCTATATCTGAGTTTCAAGACTAGTCTAGTTATAATGAGCTGCTTCACCTTCCAACTAGACTAGTCTTTGAAGATTTATGTTACAAAAACTTTTGATACCTTAGAGTGGTCCTTTTTAGACAAAGTCCTCAAATCGTTTAGCTTCAATGATAAATTGTGTAGTTGGATAGCTGTGATCCTAAAGCCTACCACCTTGTCCATACTCATCAATGGAAAAATGCATGGATACTTCAATTGTAAGAGAGAAGTGAGCAAGGATACCCCTTATTTCCTCTTATCTTTTGAAGAAATGGATCAAAAACTTCATTTGGTAAGGAGACATCCACCATAAGAAACTAGTGACAATTTCTTGGAAGAAGGTTTATAGTCCTCTTTATCATGGTGACCTTGGTATTATATCACTAATATTTCTTAATGAGGCCACAGACTTGAATTTAGGATGGGATATGCTTCAGTTTCAGGAGCATTTGGAAACTTTTCTCAGGAGTAGAACATTGAGGAAAGGTTTGTGCATTTCTCACCATATTTTCTCATCTATTTTGAGCAGCATAAAATCGGAATTCCAGATGACCGAGAACAATTTTCTACTGCATAATTGAAAATGGTGACTCAAACCTTTAACTCAAACCCTTGGCATCCATGATGCCTGGCTCAATGGTCTAGATGTCAAGGTTTGTGATTTCATAGAAAAACATCAATGGTCCATTCCTCCTGAGGTGGGCATTCTTTTTCCCAATCTGATACAACTTGTGGAGTAAGTTACCACCCTATTGAGAACAAAGAAGACAGACAGGCTTGATCAAGCACTGTTTTTGGTGATTTGTCTCTAAAGGATCCTGAAATAGAGGTTGCAACTTTCCCTCAATTTTTAACCTCTGCCTTCACATCCAAGAAATCCTTTTTATATCTTTTTTATAGCCCTTATACAATCAACATTTGGACCTAGTTCTTAGAACTCATAGGTATTAACCTTCATTTTGTCTCTAGAGAGGATATTTGGAAGCCTTGTGATAAGTGGACTCTATGGCAAAGTGGTGATTCAGCCTCCTTAAGAAATTCAAAATTGAGATTCACCCTCCTAAAAAAACCTAAAAAAATTCTTGACACTTGGCAACACTTCTTTCTTGGCCCCTAAGAAACTGCAGACTCTTGCTACAAAACATGAACTTGTTGATTTGATCATTTGTTTTACTATTAACTACGTAATTTTTTCAATTTGTTTTATATTTTCCAAAGCAAAATAATCTGTATTTGCACAAATCTTTGAAGCACAAGAAATTATAATTGTTATTTATTCAAGAATTAAGCGAAGAACAAAAGTGGGCCTTGGAGAGGAAATTGAACAAGGACTTTCAAAAACGTAAGGATGTTGACTGGTCAAGGAATTTGTGATAAATGTGCCAGAAGGCTGTGATGTTGTAAGGAATGAGGATTACATGAAAATGTATGTTAGGAGAAATATTGTGACATTTTCTTCTACTGTGATCAACAAGTTTCTAGGGAGATCTGAAAAACCTCAAGAATAAGATCATACAAGCGACAAATGAATAAGATGAAATTGATCTCGTTCAATTACTGTAAAGATAGAATTTGAAACTAAATCAAAATCAAAATATAACTAATAGAGGGAGTTTTGTAATGAAAGCTTGGAGTGTTCAAATGTTCACAAAAACATTAAGACCACTAAATCAATTAAAAGTGAATATAAAGTTCAATTAAGACCATTCTTGATTATATATGCATTATGCTGGTTGTAATTGGGAATAACTTGGAGCTTTAGTTATAAGAAACAAGCAATAGGTTGACATAACATGGTAAAGGAAACTTGAAAATCCAAAAATTCCAGTGAATAAGATAAAATGTGACAAGACCAACTAAAAGACTAAAGAGAAAACATAGCATTGAATGAGTCTAACACATAAGACACCCAGTAACTAAAATCAAAATTTCACATAATCTTTTATCACATCTCTCAAAAACATAAATAAAAAACTAGAAGCAGATTATCAAGGTGCAATAACAATGCGTCCGGCAACTTGGTCCAAATCCCTCCTTCCATTGGAAGTGATCTTCCTGCCACTGAGATTAAGAAAAACAGATGTTAGAACAATTTGAAACAAAGATAGTGACATGCTCAAGAAGGATTATTAAGCAGACATTAACATAACTATTGATATGTTCTGTAAATACGTAAACTATATATAATACAGAAATTCTTACCCCTTGGTGTCCATTTCAATGATGTTCATGTTCTGCAACTGTTGAAGGATGTTACGGGCAATGGAACCACTGCTCTTGCAGAAATGAGGTGGGCGACTGCCATTCCTTTGGCTCCCTCCGTAAATCCTCTGGAAAGCACCAACACCTAGTCCACCCCTCAAGTAGATCTTCCTTGCCATGGAAGCTGCAGCACAAATAAACATACAATTGCAATTTTCAACAAAACCAAATTGCACAGATAAACGATAACCAAGAAATGCCTAACAAAAAGACTAAAGACTACTCACCAGCTCTGATATAGTACCAGTCAGGATCATAAGGAGCCAATTCCTTAAACTTGGCTGTCTTCACAATATCTGTCCACTCCGGAAGCTCCATCTGCTCATAAACAAATATTAAAAACAGAGAATAAACTAGAATCAGTTAAAGGTATAACAAATTCTAAACTTCATATATTCAATATAAAGCTTCACAAGCCATAACTAACAAGCCAACATAGCAATTTCATTCATAGCACCAAAAAACAAAATCAACATCAGTACCACATAATCCAGAAAATTAGTCACAACTTAATTAACAAACCCAATAGATCTCGTGCACAATAAAAAACAATAAAAATTAACCTAGAATGTTCTTTATAGAACTAAGCAACACATGTGTGAGATAATAACCATACACCTAAAGGTTTTTGTTATGAAGAACAAATTGTAATTAATTCACACAATCAGTGTCGAAACAATTGTACCGATAGAGGTTTTCGGCAACAAATCCACATCCATTGCCCTTGAGAAAATCATCAAATGCATAATTTTTGTTGTCAATAAGTCAAATACAACACACCGACACATTCATCAATAGATCAAGTTATAATCGTTAACCTAAGCAAACTAAAAACAAATCAATTACAACCAAAAACACAAATCTAAACAATAGAGCACATATTCAACAAATTTAACCTTTCCGGATCTTTTGAGATGGGAAGAATAAGCTTTGACGAACTCGTGAGGAGAAACGTCTTTCACAGTCCTTGCGGTAGCCATGGATGAGCAGCAGATGATTCTCCTGAGCTTCTCTCTCACTGCACTGCACAGAAACTAGGGTTTCACAACGCTTTTGAGTCGTGTTTTTTCTCTCGTGGATTTTATTCAGAATTTTGGTCCGATCCAGTTGAGTTTGGGCTTAGGTTTAGCCCATTTTGTGTTTTTTACTTAGGTTTAGCCCATATTCAACTTAGTATATATATTGATTAATTATATAATACTAAAGAAAATAAGAAAACTATAACAAATAAATCAAGTAAATAAAGAAGTATTGAATCTATTATAAATATATAAAAAATAAAGTATATGGAAATTCAAATATTAACTCTCTGATTCAAAGTACAAACTATTCCTATTTTATGGGCATAAATGACTTTTTATAACCATACTTCAATTACATTTATTATAAATATATAAAAAGTAAAGTATTTGAAAATTCATGTATTAACCATCTTATTCAAAGTACAAACTATTCATATTTTATGGGCGTAAATGACTTTTTATAACCATGCTTCCATTACATGTCTTTAGCAATTAATACATCTTATGTGTCATAACACAAATTTTTGATACAATTTTATTTATTTTTATTCTACTAAAATGACACTAATTGGGAGATTGCAAAACCAGTCATAAACTTCAACTTGAATACACGTATTGTGTATTATCTTGGGAACATGAACAACCACAATTGATAACAGCAAAAACACAACTTCCAATATTCATTTTATATTTTCAAAATTCAAGTATGATTGTAATACATAAAGGGCAATAAAAACTGATAAAACTTTATTGTTTTTCTTCCTCTACCATTCTTATCAATCTTTCACATAAAACTCTGTCCAAAACCGATAAAAACACATCTAAGAAGTACTCTCTCGCGTACTGATTTTCGTTTTCCTTTTGTTTTAATTTTGATTTTATTTTCCTTTCGTTTTTCTTTTGTTTTGATTTTGATGGTTTTCAATGATAATTAAGTGGAATCTGAATGCCATTGTTTTTTATTCTTACCAAAGTTCTACAATCATTACAACAAAGTTGTACAATTGAAAACAAAGTTGTACAATCATGAATAACTTAAGAAATTGAAAACAACACTAATGTACACTAACACTTTGAGCGGTTGTCAAAGAAGACTATAAATTTTATTAATTATTTGATTGATTGATTAAGATATTTATTAATATTTCCATTGTTTTAGAATGGCAAGACATGATTTTTTCAACACATTGATGAACCTCAAGGTACTGTGTTAGAATCCAAGTTAATTTAATTTTCCCCCTTTATATTTGATGTTGTTTCTCATCCTTTTAAGTTTTTCTCTTCTTCACCACAAACGGTAACAATCTTTCCTTTGACTGGATATTTTAATTTTTGATGAAGAGTGGACGTCACCGCTCCTGTCCCATATATCCAAGGGCGTCCAAGTAGGCAAGAGTAGGTAGGACGGATGTCCATCATGTAGAAAGTCGAATTGAAAGTTTGAGAATCAGCCTTGATGGGAAAGTCAACCTCTCCATGAACCATCCTCTTAGATCCGTCAAAAGCACTTACCACTATGTCACTTGGTGTGATACGGTGGGAGAACTGACTTGATGTTTTGCGTTTCAATCGCACTTGTGCGATTAACAAGAATCGCCACTGACTGTTCTTTTATCCAAAAGGAAAGGTAAAAAAGCACATGAAAGACCTTTCGAGATTATTTCTCGGGTTCGGGGGGTAGATTATGAAAAGGGAAGGTATTAGCACCCTTTTCATCCATGATTTTCCATGGGCTCTTAGTTACTCGTTTAAATCACTTGCTTTCATTTGATAGTGTACTTATGGTGTGGGCTTTGAAAGTATTTTGAAAAAAATCTCTTTGTAATGGTTCTCGTCTCTATAAGAATGTATACAAAGTTTTGTTTCGAAAATTGATTCAAAGATGTGTTTGTGAATCGTGTTTCAGAAAGTGTTTTGAAAATATGTTTTGCAATGGTTCTCGTCTCTATAAGAACGTATACAAAACGTTTTGTCTTTTTTGAAAATGTTTTGGAATAAGAATGTAGGTGTAAAAGTTTTTATCGTGAGCAAGCGAGTAACTAAGAGCGAATCTATCTACTCGAAAGGTCTTAAATTGTTGTTTTCTTCCTCCTTTTAATGATCTTATCTTACCATTGATTTGGTAAGAAGCCCCATCGTTGGATGTGAAGGAACATGCGCAGGTCAATTTTACAATCATTGAAGGCAACTTGTGAGACGCTTTAGCAATTTTTGTAAGGGACGAGATCGTTTTAATCGAAGGCAACATCGAGGGTCATCGAGGGACTACGATCTTTTTTATCGAAGGGTCATTGCTAAAGTGTCCCATATTCAAGGGACATGATTGTATTTCTGAGGCAACGAGGGAGTTACCCTAGGGGTGCGCGTGTGAAAAAGTTTGTTGGTTTCAAGTTATTTTATTCTTTGATTAGGTCGCCTAGCGATTGATTTTTTTTTAATCTTGCCATACACGCCTAATTACTATACAGTATATGGAAAACAGTAAATTGCGGGAATTGAAATTCTATGCTATTACAAAATATTCGGGAATGGGGGTACAATTTTTTACAAATGGGGACGAATCCAATGAGATTGGAAGGTCCAAATATCAAACAATACAACCGAATCGAATTTTGTGCGATTTAATTAAAGCTATGATAATTCACGAAAATAAAATTAGCAAAATATGGAAAATGAAATGTTAAGTATTTACTTGAAAAGAGAAAGGTAAAACCTATTCTAAAAAAATAAAAATAATTGATTAAATTAAAATCTTTATTTTTTGCATTTTATTAATTATGTAAGATCTAAAGAAAACAAATAAAACTAAATTATTATTTTTGATGTTTTATTAAGAAAATTTAATCTAAAATAAAAATTCATTAAGAAAAGAAAATGATAAAAAAAATATTTACAAAAAAACTAATTCAAATTAATATAAAAAGATATTTTATGTTTTATTAATAATTTGCATACAAAAAAAATGTAAAGAGAAAACAAATTAAAAAAATGCAATGGGCTTAAGATGACTTAGATGTAAGGCCCAAAGAGAACAAGAAAGCTTAAGTGTTGTAACAGAAAACAAGCACATAAGGGGGTGTATCAGTAAAACGCGTATGGGCTTTGGGGGCAATTAACAAAACAAGCCCAAACTTCTTAAGTGACATTAGTCTCTGATTAAGGGAGAAAATAGGGTTCTTGGAATGTTGTGGTTCACAGCGGCGCTCTCATCTTCGTTCATCCAAACTCTTCTATTTTTTCATCTATGTTCATCTCTAAACTATCTCACTACTCGTCCTTTCCTAATTTGGCGAACAAAATCACTCTCTCCATCTTTATCTCACCATGATTCGCGTTTTTGAAAACCCTAAGTTCGTATTTAAACCTAAAAGCAACGAAATCGGTTCGTCTGATCTTCCCCCCAACTCTTAGTCGCCGGAACGGTCGTATCTCTTGCCTCCTGTGATCGGTGGATCTGGAACTGACTGTTTAACGCTGGTTCGCGAAATGTCGCGGAAGCAAGAGTCGCCACCGTCTTTTATTTTCTCCAAATGGAAAGGACAAAAGCACAGAAAAATTCCTTATAGAGATTGCTCTCGGTTCGGGAGGTAGATTATAGAAAGGGAAGGTGTTAGCATCCTTTCTATCCATGGTTATCCATGGGCTCTTAGATACTTGCTCATTTGTGTTTTCAAAATGGTTTGTTTGCTTTTCAATTGTGGGTTTTTAAAAAGTTTCTTTGAAAATTCCAGTTCGACTCTTGTATCGGTCCTCAAGAGTGTTTGAAAAGTTGCTTTCGAAAGCTTTTTGAAAAGGTGTCGGTGTGAAAAGTATTTTGAATTTGTTTTGAAATTAGAGCAAGTATCTAGAGTCGTCTACCTACCCTAAGGAATTCTTCTGTGTAGATGTCCTTTAAAGTAGTGCCATCCCACCATGGAGAGGTAGGTAGCACCACTATTGGAGTTGTTCGGGTCAATTCGAGGTTCAGGACATGGTGATCACCAGAGCAATGGGAAGATACCTTAGAAGCTACCCTCATGCCAGGTTCCCGGATCATGAGGACTTACTAAGACATCCTCTACTCGACGATCACCTTTCGAGGCAAGGCAACAGTGAGGCGTACCCTAGGGGTGATGTGTGATTTGTGTGTCGTTTTCAGATATTTTTGTCTTTTGTCATGTCATGGGTGATCTACGCGTTCTTTTTATTTTAGTCATTCATTCTTGCATGCCATTATTAACAGTTAAAAAGATGCGAAAATTAAAGTTCCTAAACTATTACAAAGGCGCGGGTCCACATCGCCAAATTAAATCCAGGACCCGATTTGACGTAAAACAAAGGAAAGTGCGAGAAATATAAATTTACACGGCTTTGGGAGAATTACATTAATATTATAAGAAATAAAATAAAATGCGCGAATTGAATTAAAATTGAAAGCGATGGCGTTGGACCCTTTTTAAAGGAATTAAATTATTATTATTAAATTAATGAAATTAAAATGAAAAAAGAAATTATTTTTGAGATTTTGGTATTTATGATTTTAATGAGAATTAAATGGAATTAAAATATTAATTAACCCTAATTCTAGCTATTTTTTAATTTATTAAGAAAATATGAAAATTACCTAAAATTAAATCTAATTAATTAATGCAATTTGATTTATAAAAATAAATAATTAATTATTAGTGATGAGAAAATAAAAGAAAAAAGTAATTAAACTAATTAAACCTAATTCTACAAGTTTTTAATTTATTAAGAAAAGATATTAAAATTAACCCTAAATTTAAATCTAATTAATTAGTGAGATTTATTTACAAAAATACTAATTAAATAAATATATTTTGATTTTTATGACTTTCTGATTTTTATTGTTATTTTTATGTTTTATGAAAATAAATTAAATTAAAGGAATTAATTAAAAAAGAAATAATTGAAACAAATAAAATAAAGAAAAGAAAAGAAATACAATACCTTGGGGG